AGAGAGAGAGAGAGAGAGAGAGAGAGAGAGAGAGAGAGAGAGAGGTGAGTGGTGGTGGTAAGAGAGAACGGTGGCGAATAGGAGAGACGGTCGTCCAGCATCTTCAGATCCGGAGTCGTTGGGCTTGGCTCCACCTTCAGATTCGTGTGTGTGTGTGTGTGAGAGAGAGAGAGAGGAGATATGAGGAGAGACATGATACGTAGAAAGGAGATATGGGTTACATGAGATGTGTGTGTGTTTTTGAGATAGTGAGAGAGATGAGAAGATCGATACAGTCTTGAGGAAGGGAAATGAAAAGATAATCTTGGCCATTGGATCTTAAGTAATCAATGGTCAGAAATATTAATCCAAATTTTAAAGAATGTACCAATAAGAAAGAAGGACTAAGATCACCAAAAATATCTTTAAACCTTTGGATCAAAATTAATCAAAGGCCCAAAATAAAACTAATAAATTTTTTTTTTTTCATTTATTTATATTTTTTTTGTGTTGTTTATTATTTAGTTATTTATTTTTAGTTCTGAAATGTATAATGTAAATTTGAAATATTGTATATAAATTGAAATATATATTATAGAAAAAATATTTTATTTAAAGCTTGAGGTCTAATGTTCTATCATATATGTCAAAATGTGTGGTTTAGGCTTTTTGGTTAAAGTTTTGAAATAAATATTTGGTTTGAGATTAAGTTTTGAAAGATTTAAGTTTATAATTTTGTCATAAAATTATTTGGTAGTTTTTTGTTTATGTTAAAACAAATAGAATTCAAATTTTAAGGTTTTAAGTTTATTGTGTTTGTTTAGGGTTTAAGAGTTTAAGTTTTTTTTTGATAAAAAAAGTTTGAGGTTTTGTGTTGAAATTATGTGAGTATACATATAATAAATCTATTTTGGTTTTAACGTGTATTTTTTAGTATTAAAATTTTAGAACTATCAAATATGAAGTTTAGGATTTTAGATTTAGAGATTATGTATGATATAGGGTTTGGATTTAATGTATATAGGTTTGGTGTTTAATTTTAAAATATTTAAGTTTATAATTTTATATTTAAGATTTGGAGTTTAAGTTATAAAATATTATAAAGATTATTAGTGTATTAGTGTTTAAATTTTGCTTTTTAGAGTATAGGGTTCATAAGTTTGTTTAGGGTTAAAGGATTCAAAAAATATGATATTATAGCGTTTATTACTTTATGTGCTATTAAATGTACGCTATCATAGCGTTTCCAATTATGCCGTTCTATCATAGCGTTTCCAAAAATGCAAACGCTATCTAAAACTAACGGATATGTCAACCATAGCAGAAAGCGAAAAAACGCTATCCTGGTCTGCTATTAAAACGCATTTTTCTTGTAGTGAGTATTTTGTAAAACATTGCTTTGGGATATTCTGTTCAAATCGAGCTTATAAGCAGAAAAGAAAACCTTGAAAGACTACTTTTCATGTGGACTGAAAATTTAAATATGTCCATGATACATGTCTACAGTTTACTCTTCTTTTTGTTTAATCATATTATTTTATAAGATATGTTATGAAGAAAAGCAATATTATAATAAATTATTATAGATTAGAGATTGTCCACAAATTATGTAGTAAAATTTAATTTCGAGTGCTATGAGAAAGATGTATAGAATATCTAAGAGAATAATCGAATATGTGAACTATTCCTGAAAGAAAATTGTTAGGCCGATAAGCTTCTGAAATCAAATCACAAATAGCAATGAAAATTTATTTTAAACGCTTTTAAGTTGAAACTAGATTTTGACTCACACTTGAGAAGCGTGGATTTTATTTTGGTTGTAACAAAATGTATCAAATGATTCTATTTTTATTATATGATAGTTTTTATATGTGAAATTTGATGTATATTTAACGGTGTTAGTAGGATCTTTTCTTTGAGTTTTACATAACCGAGTCAGTTTGTGGTTGAACAAAGAATCAAAAAAATAAGTATTGTGAGATTATGAAAAATTTAAACACATATTACATTTTGACCCGCGCTTGGATTAAATAGTTTATTATAATAATTACATTTATGATTTTTGAACAATAAAAGTAATATTCAATTTTGACCCGCGCTTCTTATATATTTTATTTATGTTAGTTAAAATAATTATATCTATGATTTTTAAACAATAAAAATAATATTCAATTTTGACCCGCGCATCTTATATAGTTTATTTATGTTAGTTAAAATAATTACATCTATGATTTTTCAACAATAAAAATAATATTCAATTTGACCCGCGCTTAAGAAGGGCGGGTATTTTTTTGTTGACCATAAAATAAAATATTAAATTAATTTATGAGAGTCAAAGGTAACTCAAAAATATTTTTTTTATGAGAGTCAAAGATAACTCCAAGTATATAAGGAAGAATTTAAATATTGCAAGATTCTGGAGTAACAAATGAGATTTGTTACTCTAAGTATCTCATTTTCTGTTTTATTATACAGCAAATATAATATAAATCGATTTTCGTTTATTATATCATAGTATATTGATCTGTTTTATACAACACTATATATTTTCATATAAATAAATCAGTCAATAAATTTTCACGAATAAAACAAATATTATCTAAAATGAAAATTATTGAATGAAAACAAAACGCGATTTTGATTCAACTAGGATTAACGCTCGAGAATCATCATAACGCGATTGTCAAAACATAACTAAAAACATTATTTCTAAACAAACATAATCCTAAAACGGATCGACGGAAAATCATCATTACCTCTGCGATTTTGATTCAGCCAGGGTTAACGCTCGAGAATCATCATTACCTCTACGATTATAAATAAGTTTTCTAATTTAGTTTATAATATTATAAACTGAAAGCATTTTTGTTGAAAAAGATAAATACCGTTGTTTAAATTCATCTATCTCTGGTATTTTAGGATTAACAAACATCTGTCTCGAGGAATGTATGTCTTGTTACACGATGCATGGATCTTACTTCCCTATATAAACATAAAACATTATCATTTAGGTTAAAATTTAACGAAATGAAGATATCTAAATCAAAAATCTATACAAAACGACAAGTTTACATTTGCATCACAAAGGATTAGTTCCATGGACTCCCTTAGTCTTTCATGAAATGTCTTCACGTATGAAGGATTTTGAATTGGATGCGACAACAGTCTTCTTCGATTTTATATCGCTCAAGAAAGACAATTGCAAATTATTCGCCATTTTTGTTTTAGGTTTTCAAAAAGATGATAAATATAATGGTTAAGAGAGGCTATATTTATAATATGTAAGGCTGATATACAATTATGTTGCGCGAATGTAGGGGAGAATATTTCATAAGATTTTTTAAAATATCTCTTTTGAGAAATAATGAATATTTCTTGAAGATTTTGAATTAGTTAGGAAGTTTAAAGTTTAACAGTTAATGGTAATCTAACTACGGTAAGTTACCGAAATTTATGGAATCTACGATATTGATTGTGGTTAATCTACTTGTAGGTAAAGCAATTTCTTTATTTTAATAGGAAGTTAATTATAGAAAACCGTATTTGTAATATTTTCTAAACAAAACGTATCTCGTCCATTAAATGTCAACATGAGAGTGATGATATATCTTTTTTGGTTGATATCACTATATGTCGTCTAACTATGGTATATAAATACATGTAAATTTAGTGAGACATGAAAACATATTTCATATATGAAGAAAAACATGAACCGAAGATCTATAACACAATATAAATGAAATGAAAGTTTATAAAGTCCATGTATGATGCATATACCAAAAAATGTCAACCAAAAAAATATAATGTTGGAAATCTATAGATTGAAATCATGTAATATAAGGTCTATAACACAATATAAATGAAATGAAGGTTTATATAGTCCATGTATGATGCATATATCAAAAAATGTCAACCAAAAAAGTATAGTGTTGGAAATATATAGATTGAAATCATGTAATATAAGGTCTATAACACAATATAATTGTATGAAATATAGTATGTTATATAAATACGGGTAAATTTAGTGAGACATGAAAACATATTTCATATATGAAGATAAATCATGAAATGAAGATCTATAACACAATATAAATGAAATGAAGGTTTATAAAGTCCATGTATGATGCATATACCAAAAAATGTCAACCAAAAAAAATATAATGATGGAAATATATAGATTGAAATCGTGTAATATAAGGTGTATAACATAATAGAAACGTATGAAATATAGTTTGGAATATGGTTATAAAGTCTATATATGATTTATATACAAAAAGAAGTCAACCATAAAAGTATAATACCGAAAATCTATAGATTGAAATCATGTAATATAAGGTGTATAATATAATATAAATGTATGAAATATAGTATGGAATGTGGTTATAAAGTTCATATATGATGCATATACCAAATCGTGTAATATAATGTTGGAAATCAATAAATGTATGAAATATAGTATGAAATATGGTTAGAGTAATTAATGGGAAGAGAGAAGAATAATTAATAGGAAAAAAGAATAATTAATGGTTAGAGTAATTAATGGAAAGATAGAGAATAATTCGGGTATATGCAATATGTGATATGATTTGTAACAAATTGATATATATATATATATAACACGAAATTAAATTACCAAAATACTATTAATAAATAGTGCATACAACTTAAATCAGTCGAGTTTTTAAAGGTACCTTCACTTTTAATAGTATAAATAATTGAAAAAAAGAAAAGAAATTATAATCCATGCATTTTTAGACATCATAGGACAATATATATTAACGAGATATTAAGTCAAAATCCAAATAACACAAAAGGAAGAAACGACAAAGGGATCAAATTCATGCAATACAATTGCATTTTTTACCCAATTATTCACACATAAAATGCACCAAATTAATAAAAAAAAAAAAAGCAAGAATCCAAGTAATAGAAGAAGATCGAATCAACCTTACCACCTAGAGGTTTCACGGTTAAAGAGCTCACGGTTAGGCTCAAGCATCTTGCAAAGACCCAGATACGTCAAGTAAAGCACACGATCCTTAGCTCCGGTCCTGTGACTCTTGGAGTGTTTGCAGAAATTCTTGAGCTGCTCCAACGTACAGTAACCCAACATCTGTCCCAAAAGCAAAAACAACCAGTTGATCTGACTCTTCCGATCAGCAATGACGGGCTTCACCGCCTTGTCACGGCCACAAAGCTCGCATCTCATCGGTTCTGGGTTTGTCCAAAACGCGGGAGCTCGTTCTCTCATGAGCCTCTTGCGCGTCACGAAGACGTTCTCTACTTGGGAGAACTTCTCCCTCAGATTGTAACTCATCTGATACACTTTCTCACAGTGCTTGCATTGCACGTCGCCGGTGATGGTGGTGATCTGTTTGGATTCGAGATTCTCTAGGCTTTGTATCGCTCCACGTTTGTTAGTCGCCCAGGGATACGGCGGCGGGATTGTATCGTCTTTTTGATTACGGCTTGATTGCGATCTGTAACTCCGACGTGACTCAGCCGCGGTGGCTACTGGTCTAACGACTGGTCTTTCCGGAGTGAGAAAATCAAACGTCGGAGGCTGAATCGGTGTTGAGGATCCTCGAGAGAGTGTCTGGTACGGAGAGTAGATGAGCGAGGATGAGAGTAGATACGAGGGCGATGTCGTAAGATAAGGCTGAGACGAAGGGAATCGCGTCATCAAGTAACGTGGCGACCACGTCGTTTGCGTCATAAGCGAGGGAGCAACAGGCGATGGTGGTGCCAGACGAAGCAACGGCGGCGCGATCTGAGAGGAGTACGACGTTGGTGGTCGCAAACTCAGTGAAAGGGGATGGAGGGGTGCGTCGTTATCATCACCAGTCTGTACGCCGTCGTTTCCAGGCTCGCTCATCACCATCAGTACTTGATTGGTTGCCCGATCGTCTTCCCAGACTCTTCTTATCTGATTACCTCCGTTCCGATTGCTGTTCGCGTCTTCAGACTGGACGCCGTCGTTTTGAGGCTCGTTCGTCACCATTACCACTGGGTTTGTTCGACGGCGTTGATTACTTGTCTGATCGTCTTCCCCACTAGCTCTTCTTCTCCTCTGGTTACCGTTGTTCTTGTCCATGTGGAAAGGAAAACGACGGAAATGGTGAGAGAAAATTAGGGGGTCGAAAGAGACAAAGCGTCAGAGTGCGTGCTGGTCTATGGGGAGTAAAGAAAACGACGAGAAAGTACTGAGAGAGAAAAAAGCATAAAGACAGAGAAGAGAGGAGACGAGCGGAGAATCTTTTCTGTTATGCAATCAACTTGATTTTCTCTCCGTTTTTCCGAGTATTAACAGAAATATCTTTCTTTTTTTTTCTTTTTTTTAGTTTTGGATTTTCAAGTGGTCACTTATGAAAATTAAAACTGTATTAGTAAATAAAGATTATGATTAGTAAAATCAAGTGGTCACTTATGAAAATTAAAACTGTATTAGTAAATTTTTTTTTTAGTTTTAGATTTTCAAGTGGTCACTTATGAAAATTAAAACTGTATTAGTAAATAAAGTTTATGATTAGTAAAATCAATGATTAGTCAAATCATTTGCATGTTGTTTTCCGGTGAAAAACAATAGAAATAAAGATTTTGGTTTTGGTTTTTTAAAACATATAAATCATCTCGTTTTTGGTTTTTGAAAAAGAAATTATACTGTTCTGAGATTACTATTTTTTAGATTTATGTATGATTATTTCTCGCTTCATTTACGCATTTGTTAATGACCCAGTTGTTGTAATCAACCTTATTGTGCAGTTCTTACAGTTCTTTTTTTTTTAAACATAAAAAGTTGATCTATTACTTCATCTTGACGTGGACTGGGGAGTCAAACTGAAATAAAATAACCAACATATAAGAGTTCTCGATGAAAAGATCGAGCATTTTTAGCAAAAGAGTCATCAACAGCATTCTGTAACCTAAAAACATAAAAAATTTGAAGTCTGGGAAGCGAATCCGCAGCGTCATGAGTTTTTCCAACTCCGTTGAGAAGCTTGGCCAGTCATGTGAATTTCTGAGTATCGCTATTATCTCCTTGCAATCCGTCCCAAAACTCTGACATGGCAAATGTTGAATCATATTCTCCATTGCCCGCAGAGCTTCCAGCTCATAGTGTAAAACAGACTCCACCCGGCTAAAATTACGCATACCCATCAACTGAATTTCCCATACTGTCATTCCAAACCCAACCACATCTACTGAATAGATCTGTAGAGGTTCAAGAACCGTCTACCATACAAATATTTCTCAGACTTATGGTGTGGCTGTCAACATCTATGTTTTCTTGAGATGGCGCTTTAATCTGCTCGTTAGCTTGGAACCAGGCTTGGCACTCACTTTCCACATATTAGGCTAGTTCCAAGGGATCACTATCAATTCCTCTAACAACTTATCGTTTCGAGCCTTCCAAATATACCATTTTATCCATGGATAAGGGTCCCTGTCCAAATCCGGTTCCATTATAGCATTTTTGCTCCAGAAAAGGTAGTCCATGTTCTCATATGTACTCTGTAATGGAAACATGGTAGGATTGGTAGGCGTAGATGATAAGGCCCAAACTTGCATTGCAGGTGGACACTGGAAGATTGCATGTGTAACTGATTCTTCTGGTTCCCCGCAGCGTGGACAATGATTATCACATCTCATATGTCTATAATTCAAGGTACTTGTAACAGCCACATGACCTGTTATTATTTGCCACATAAGATGACACATCTTTTGGGGTGCCTTGACCTTCCAAGCATGTGTTTGGAGTTTTATGATACTATGTTCACAAACTACAGCTTCCTCCTCCTTCATCAATATATTCTGTGCAACCCAATATCCAGATTTGACTTTGTACTGTCTATTTCTTGTGCAGCTCCAAAAATACGTGTCCCTTCGATGTGTTGTACTAATGACCATACTCCTTATGAGTGGTATATCAGCAGCATTTACATAATTCATCAGCTGGCCCAGATCCCAAGACTTTGTTTCTTGAGTAATAAGGTCGCTCACTCTCATGTTCGGATGTAAAACTGGTGCAGATGGAGACGATGATCTCGCAGGAAGGGTAGGAATCCATGGATCCTCCCATACTTTCACCTCATATCCCGAATGTATTTTCTATCTAACTCCCAGCAATAGTAATGCTTGTGCCGCTGAGACACTTGTCCACACATATGATGGGCTACTGACCAGAAGCTGACGTAAAGGCAAACTCGATCGATAATACCTGCCTCTCAAGATTCGAGCTATCAGGGAATCGGGATATTGAACCAATCTCCATAGCTGCTTTGCTGAAATCGCAAAGTTAAACTCGTGAATAATTCTGAACCCAACCCTCCTTCCTTTTTAGATAAACATTATTAGGCCCACGTTGACCAGTGTATACCTCTTTTTGGTGGGTTCGAACTCCACCAGAACTGTGCAATGGCACTAGCTAGGGCATCACAGATCTCCAACGAAAGTAGAAAGCATGACATTACATAAGTTGGGAGTGCTAGTAGGATTGACTTAATCATCACTTCCTAACCACCTTTTGATAGCCTCCTACCCGTCCATCCATTTACTCTATTCCTTAGCTTCTCTTTTAAGAAGGCAAAAAGCTTGCATTTGTATCCACTAATATCCTCTGGGATTTCTAAGTATGTTCCCATCCCTCCTTCATTCTGAATCCCAAGTGTATTTTTAATCTCTTGCCTCACATCCTGTCTGATTCTCTTACCAAAGAGTAGAGAAGATTTATCGAAATTAATGCATTGTCCTGAAGCTTGTCCATATTTTCTGACCGCTTTCATTACTTCTTCACATTCACGGGGCTCCGCCTTACAAAAGAACAGGCTATCATCAGCAAAGAGAAGGTGAGATACCAAACGACACGCACGCACGATACGCATCCTTGTTATCTTTTCCTGGTGCTCTGCATGATTTAAAAGGCTAACGAGCGATTCCGTGCATATAATAAAAATCAAAATGGGATAGACGATCTGTCTTAGACCTCTCTACGGGACAATATTCCTTCTTGGCTGTCCATTCATAAAGACCTTATACTTTACCGATGTTACGCATCGCATTATCCACGTTATCCAGATCTCCGAAAAACTCATCTTCCTCATAGTGGCCTCGATGAAGGACCACTCCATTCTATCATACGCCTTCGCCTTGCTCATGTCTGTTTTTATGGCCATCCTCTTGTTGCGTCCACTCGGTTTGGTTCTTAGAGCATGGAACATCTCTTAAGCTATCATAATATTATCAGATATTTGTCTCCCAGCAACAAAGGCTGGTTGGGTTTCTGAAATCCGATCTGGTAGAACCTTTTTTAATCTCTGGCATATACCCTTAGAGATTATCTTATAACTAACGTTACATAAACTGATGGGCCATAGCTGGCTCATCTGATTCAGCTTATTTTTTTCTGGAATGATACATATATTGGTATCATTTAGACTAGTAGGTAGCGTGCTATCAAACATGAACTGATTAACCATAAGAGTTAAGTCATCCTTTACAATGTCCCAAAACTTCTGGTAGAAAAGCGCAGTCATCCCATCTGGCCCTGGAGTTTTCTTTGGATGCATTGCAAAAAGAGCTAACTTGATCACCCATTTGGTGACTAGAGCTGTGAGATTCTCATTGTTTGCTGGTGTGATGGTTGTAGATACCTAAGATAGTGCTTCCTCTATATTCTCAGGGTTTGATGATTGGAAGATATGTCTAAAATAACTTGTAGCAATTCTACAAGTCCTTCCTCATCCTCTACAACATTCCCAACTGCATCCAGTAATTGAGTAATCATGTTCCTCGCTCTTCTCCATTTTGTGAGGGCGTGGAAGAATTTAGTATTCCTATCTGTTGACATGAAGGAATTACTAAGATAAGAAGAGATGACCATTGGTACGAGCGTGACTATGAAGAGCTTGACCATATGGTCAACTACAAATAAGATGACCATTGGTGCAAGCGTGACCATGAAGAGCTTGACCATATGGTCAACTTCAAATAAGATGACCATTGGTACAAGCGTGACCATGAAGAGCTTGAACATATGGTCAACTACAAATAAGATGACCATTGGTGCAAGCGTGACCATGAAGAGCTTGACCATATGGTCAACTTCAAATATGATGACCATGGGTGCAAAGCTTGACCATGATGGAAGGTGACCATATGGGCAAATTCAAATTCTCTTCTTCTGTTCTTCCACGTGCATTTGACCGTTGTGTACCAACTTGTATTATTTTAATTATTTTTTATTTCAGGCCACTTGCCTACTTATCTTGCTGTAATGCACATTGATTTAATTAAGGAAAATATTTCCTCCTTCTATTCTTCTTAACTCACGAAACTCTCTCTCTCTCTCTCTATTATTTGTTCTTCATTCTCCAGCAACAATACTTTCTTAATCTCTAATTCTAACATGGTATCAGAGCATTCTTGCTCTTGAGACCACTCATTCTCTATTTTTCTTTGTGTTTCCGCAAATCTCTGATCTTTTTCATTCTATTTTTGGCAAAGTTCTTGGTGTTCTTCAGTTGTTCTTATTTTCCAGAAAAAAAAAATTGCCAGAAATGGAAACTCACACCAAAATTGTCATACCTGTAACTCTGAAGGGGCCAAACTATTTGTTATGGTCAAGACTTGTCAAGACAGCACTAGGAGGCAGAGGTCTTTGGGAGTGTGTTTCTGAGGGCAAGATAACGAAGCAAACTATCCTAGGAGAGGATAGTAAGGAAGTGATGGCTGCGGCTAAAGAAGATGGGAAGAAGGAGACTCAAGCGGATCTTATGGTTCTCTCCATCATCCAGAATAGCCTTGAACCATCCATCTTGGAGGCTTACTCCTACTGTGAAACCTCCAAGGAGCTGTGGGATACACTTCAGAA